TCCAAACTTTACCTTGTAAAACCGTCCTGGGTCATATATGTTATCAATGAGTACATGTTAAGCATTAACTCAAACATTCAACCTTTGCCATCTGCGGGCTGCCGAAACAACATTTTCCATATCTGATCTGCTTTGCCCACCACCAGTAGCAGTTTGCAACTTCATTTTGAGTAGGTCCGCACCATCCCCCCCTCCAATTCCTCCCCTGCTGACATGACAAACGAGGCCAGAGTCTAATCCCAGAGCAGAGTTACAGGGTGAGTTAGGGGGTCAGCGGCTGGAAGAGGAGCCACACAGGAAAGACACGTCCGGATTGTCCTCTAGAGGAAGTGAAGGTGCAGACTGCAGGCTCTCTAGGATTAGAAATGCAGAGCAGCCTGGTGAAGATGTTAACGCTCGGCCTGCGTGGGCCTGAGGGGAGGAGTGGATTATGATTTAAGAGGCCATCGCAGGGGATCAACGTTAAGGAACAGATGAATATTTTCCTAATAACAAAAGACAGGCTGCGGTAGAGTGTATTTCAGAAGCAGAATGCTTCTAGACAGACCTGCACCTTGTTTCATTCATGTGTGGTTCAGGGCTGCATTGCTGTTTCATGCAATCTGCATTTTGTGTAGACGCTATTAACATTTCGCTCTGTGGCTGTTCACTAAGTTTGAACAAAGTTTTTCACCTCTTTAGAAGCAGGTGATTTGTTCGCTCTTACGGCCTATCTAAAAGTGCCACGAGCTATTATCCCCTTTAATGCTACTGAGCGATGATCAGCACTCTTAGCATCAAGTTCAACCAAGTGTGGGCCACAAAGTTAAACCGGCTTTTAATCCCCACAGAGACGAGGTTCAAAATGTCGGCGGTTGTACAGTTACAGATAAATGTGTTTGGGCAAATCACCTTAACCTCATTACAGAGTCACTGTGGCAGGCCACAGAGAATCAAAGTCAAATGAAAAGTGTGCGTTGAGTGTTAAGAACACTGATCCCCGGGGACGTGACCGGGATTACAGTACAGGAAAGAAGGAGGTGAAAGCTGAAACATTTGCTTTAAAGCTGTGTGTCTAAAAAAACTAATTCAGTCACACCGATTACATTATTAACATGTCACAGCCCATAACAAGCTGCTCACTGCAAGCACAAGCTTCAAAATCATTCCCTCTTAACAGGAAAACAACATTTCTATTGTGAGATTCTCCATCGGATGGACATCCTGTCTTGTCTTTGTCAAAAGACGCAATTTTGATTCATCCTGTTCGGGGTGGGGAGGGGGTTCACGGTTTGTTCTCTTTTGTCGGCCCACTGTTGTGAGCTAGCGGGGTAAACAACGAGACAACATCCTATTGTGATTCCTGCTCCTCACACTGACAAGCACATGAACGGAGGAGACGTTTCAAGTGGCAGCAGCACCAAATGGATCACTGTCTCCTGCCATCCTGCCTTCCCTGTCTGTAATGCAGATAAAGATGCTGTGATAGACAGATAAAGACACCGCGCCGGACAGATAGAGAAGTTCACACGTCTGCAGAAACACCACGCAGATGCACCCAGCAGGCATCAGATGAGCACCAGCTGGGCAGGCAAGACGGTGAAACTGCTGCACCCAGGAAGTCAGGATGGCACACCATGCCAAGTGAACAGCTCCAGGCTACAGAAATGACATCAGACTGAAGGGTTGGCTTGTCAAACAGCGTAGGTGGCAGCGTGTTATACAACATGGACACAAGTAGGAGAAGTGGAGGAACATAAGGCATCAAAGACTCCCATAGCTTCTACCAGTGAGCCATCAAGTTGGAAATCACAGCACTCAGTCTGAAGGGTGTATATCATTCACCAACAGCTGAAGGGAAAACTTTGCAGCTTCTCCTGCTCAGCTTTAAATAGACTGTGGGGACTAAAAGCAAAGCGAGCAGCCTAAGAAAGTTGAAGAAAGTTTTAACGCACATCTGCAGCTGGTGAGGACATGTGGAGATGAAACCAGAAGCTGGGAGCTGAGAGCCACCAGTACAAATGGGAGCAACAAATGGACTGTGGAACATTTGCCTTCCGTTTGGGTTACTGGTCTCCTAACCACAGCAAAGTGGACGAGTTGAAAGAAAAAAAAAAACCCAACAGATGCGGCTGGTGGTGATAGATAAACGAAGAATGTAGTCTCCCAACTGCGGCTAGTTGAACTCCACTACAAATAGCGAATGAAGTGAACTTTTCAGAGCCAAACTTTCCCTCACAGTGTCTCGTGCTGCGTGCTAGCGAGTTACTAGAGCTGTGCGGCGATAAATGTGTCGTAAAGATAGCAGCGGAATTAAACTTGAATTTCAGCTAGCTTCTTTACATTAGCTCACTTTTTCAGTCACACATTTTTCAAACATTCACAGTTTAAAACACGCTACAAGTAGTTGAGTATCCACTGAGCGGCGTGTCTCGTTCACTGTCCGTCCGCACAACAAGCTCTCCGCGGCGGGATGTTTGCGACGCGACACCGGCTCCGAAAACTTTCTCCACGTTCGCTCCGTTAAAGTTAAAGTTAACTCACCTTGTCCCGGACATGTTCTTCACATTGTAAACCAGGCGTAGTCGAAAGAGGAAAACCAGTGTTGTGCTCGTATCGGGATGAGGGGCTGGTTTTCTGAGCGGTTGGAGCAGTGAGGAGGACGGGACCGTCCTACGGCGGTGGATCCGATATGGAGTCTCCGCCTCCGCACGTGAGTCATCGGTTGGGACGAGGGTCACCCGGACTGCTGCTGCTGCTGCTGCTGCTCACCCCCACCGGGACGAACCGCGGTTTTTAACTTTAAAACGATTTACCGGTATTTTATTTTAAAAAAGAAAAAAAAAAGGTTAATTAAAAAGTTAAATCACACAAGAAAGTATTGAATTACACCTTGACTGTAAAAAAAAAAGAAAAAAAAAGTTAATGTTAAAAATGTTACTTTTTCTTTTTTGTTTAAAACATATAAAAAAAATCTGGTAATCAAGTACTGATTTACACGTTCATTATAAAAAAAACCCAAGAAAACAGACTGTTAATTATGTCTACATCAAGAATTTGTGTTTTTATAAATGATAATTGTTTTTTTTTTTTTTTACAATGTTTGACTATTAAATAACATTTTTTTACTCAGCTACATTCGCAAAAAAAATACCTTCACTTTCAAGATATAATGATAAATAATTTAACTGTTATTTTACAGATTATCTGTTTTGTATAAGTACAGATAATATCTAGTTAAATCACACAAAAAAGTATTGATTTACATTTTGACTGTATTAAAAAATAACCTAAAAAGTCAAAATTGCAGATAGACATAATGTAAGAGAAGCATTCTATATATTAAGGACTGAAAAATTGTAAATAATGTTAAAATGTTACTTCTTCTATTTTGTTTAATTACATTAAAAAAAATCTGGTAATCAAGTGTTGATTTACACATTGACTATTTTTATAAAAAAAAAAACATGAGCAAAATTCAAAACTATCATTACTTTAAAGATATTTGTCAAATAATGACAAATTATTTATTATTTTTTAAAACAGATGATCTGTTTTGTATAATTACAGATAATATAATAATAGGTATCAATTTTTTTATGTGACACAAAAAATCATATGTAATAAGATATTTGTAATTATTTAATTACGGATGATATCTAGTACAATCATTGAACAAAGTAAGAAAGTTTTTTGTGTTTTTTTTTATCAATGTTTGACTAAATTACACTATTTTTACTGTATTAAATCAACAAAAGTAGCATTAGTTTAGTGCTATTTGCCATTAAGTACATAAATGGTAAATAATTCTTACTGTATTAAATTAGAAAAAATACAATCTCATAGATATTTGCTGTTATTTGATTAAAAAGTTTATATATTAAGGACTGAAAAATGGTTAGTTGTTTAAAACATTTTGTTGCTTATTTTCCCAGTTTTAATTATTTATAGATAATATCTAGTAACATCACAGAAAAGTATTAATTTGCATGACTGTAAAAAAGGCCAACGCTGTAAATGATGTCCAAAAAAAACAACAAAAAAAACCATTATGTGACCATAAAATAACACATTTTCACACTTTTTATGGTTTTAAAACCATAAGTATTTCACTGGTTTTAACACTTTTCTTCTGTTACCTTTGCAACCAGAATTTAAACTTTTTTTTTGTTTGTTACAGAAATTATTGCAGTGTAGGAGCCAAACTGTAACCTTAACATGCAGCAGAGTGATAAAATGTTAAATTTAATTTAATCAGCGAGAACTATCACAACATGTTTGGAGGAGACTTCACTTTTTGCCAACTTTTCTTGCAACATGATAAATAATTTAATATTGTTTCTTAATTATCCATCCATCCATCCATCCATCCATTATCTATACACCGCTAAATCCTCACTAGGGTTGTGGAAGGCTGGAGTCTATCCCAGCTGACTTAGGGCGAAGGCAGGGGACACCCTGGACAGGTCACCAGTCTATCACAGGGTTTCTTAATTATTTGTAGTTTATTTACTACAAAAGACAGACTACTGTTACTAAAAAACAAAAAAAAAAAACCAAACAGTAAATCTACTTATGTGTTTTATTGGTAGATATGCGTCTCAAATATCCAACTAAAACCAGACTTCAGCTTGAATTTTTGCTGCCAAAGAAACAGTAACAGAACAGTGCTGTTGCTAGGCGATGTGGGTGCGATCCCGGCTTGATGATTTTTAGTTTTTGTAGAATTTTCCAAGTTTCTCACAGTTTGCAGTAAACAGCAAACAAGACAAAAAGGAACACTTAGGGGACCAAGGTGTCCTTCCCTGAACATTCCTGACCTTGCAGATGTTTGAATTTGTATTTGAATATCATATCAGGGATAATGAAGCGCTCATTTGCAACCTATTCTTGCACGACTCAGTCAGTCAGAGAGATAAAGTGTCTACTGTTGTAACTGTCAGTGGGTTGTATGTAACCCATTAGCCTGTGGACAAGCAGACAGAGACACCTGCTGGACAAGAAAACAAATAAAAGTCAGGTCACATTTAAGGTCAAACAACACTTTATTCACAGTTACTATCAGCACTCTAGGTCTATGGCAATATTTGCTAAAAAAAAAAAAAAAAAAAACTTTATTCACAGTTACTATCAGCACTCTAGGTCTATGGCAATATTTGCTAAAAAAAAAAAAAAAAAATCAAGAAGCTAACAAAGGCAGGTAGCTAAACTTCACATCAATAAGTATTACACTGTTGTGTTTTTCCTCTGGCACAGAGTAAACTATACATCCATTAATGTACATCTCTTCACAGTGAACCCTTTAAGTGCTTTTCCGATGTAAATAAGGAAAGGACAAACATACAAACCGCGGGCAATGAAATTTTTCAAGCTACACTTCTCCCTATATTTTGTCGACTCATATCATACAATGAGGTCTGCCTCTTCAGTATTATAAAAAATATTGTAAACATTTATATTAATTGCACAACATACATTCAAATACATACTGTACTGTACAGCAAGATTTTACTTCTGTATTGTTATCCTGTAGCACCATGTATAGCAAGCTGAACAAACTATTTGGATACTTCTACAGTGTGGTACTGACAATACAAAGGAGTAAAATGGCATTCACTAATGACACATTCAGTCAATGCTCAGATATTCTGGAGGATTGTATCGTTGTGAGATAGTGTCGGCCTGGTCAGCGTCATGAAGAACCTGCGCTAAGGTCTGTGTGTGGGGTTGAATCGTTGCAGGCAAACGCTGTTCATCTCACACGTCTCACGGCTGTGAGGAAGATGGCGCTTCATAAAGGACATTCATCAGTGTTAAGATCAACTATAATACAAAAGATTATGGCGAAAACTCTGATACAGTTGGTCGTTAAAAACTCCACGTCCATGTGCAGACACGTTGGTGCAGATAAAGAAGATAGGTTTTGTTGTTACTCCCAGCGAGCTAATTATTGAGTTAATCAGCATGTGCCACAGAGACATCATGAGGACATGACATCGTTGTGTAGCAGCAGAGTTGACGTTGTTTCCACTGGGTCCCGTATGACATGAAAGAAAGCTGATTAAAGCTGACATATTGAATATTATCTACAAGCTTTACTGCTAGACTGAATGGTTTGTGAACACCAAACCGCCCCACTTGGTTTAGAGCATCCTACTGATGTTGCCAGCCCTGACAGCTGGGGGTAACAGAAGATGGAAATCGGTATGAAATATGTTTCAAAGTAGATAATTGTCTTTAAGCTTCCTCTCAGCCTTAATGTCTCCTCTACCTGGGCGAGGGCTACGAAGAGCAGCTCTCTCGAAAATTAAACCCAGAAAAGAGAAGAGTAGTATCTCAGGTTATGGTCCATCGAAGTGTGGTCAAGGTCCTCGGGTTTGCCTGCCCTCCCCATTCTCCTTCCTTCACTGGAGAAGGCCGATGTGGTTGGTCGTGGGATGCGGGTGGTTAACCAACCCACCCTTCCCAAATCTGCCCTCTGTGCAGGGGGGAAAAAAAAAACATTGTAAGTTAACTGTACCACTTGTGGCATTCACTGGAAACCATGGCTCCAGTTGTGGTCTGTTCCTACCAACACTGCGAGGAAAAGTAAGAAATGACAATAACACGACTGAAAACACAACGTACTGAGAACAATGTCACGTCTGCATTGCTTTACTGAATTTGACTCGAGAGGGTGAATGAAAAAGAAGATGGTGCGGCTTTGCAATGCAGGTAAATGATCGTTACTGTAAGTAGAGGAGTACAGAACTACAGTAAATAGGAGGACATGCTGCTGGGTCATCTGACCAAGCTAAAAAAAAAAAATCTGGATGGAGATAGTAGTAGAGCTTGGCTGACTACAAAGGAGCAGATGGGTTATGACAAACTCACAGCGATTTGGAGGAGGGCTTCTTCACTTTTGGCCTCTTTCGACGATGAACTGGCCTGAAGCATGCAGAGCACGTATCAGGGCAAATGCACGTGCATGGAGACAAACACACAGGTATATACACACAAAACACACACACACAAACGCACACAGACACACACAAGTGCACACACACATACATGCATGCGCGCACACAAGCACACGCACACAAGCAAGCATACACACACACATACACCCCCACACGCACAGCAGAGACAAGCAATTAGGCTTCATTACAAAAAGGGAGCAGCAGAAGCTGAAAAGCAGGCTTGCATTTTAGCCCTCTTTGGCTTCGGCTTCTGCATGCTAAAAAGGCTTTGATCACAACAGTAAGGAACCATGGCAGTTTGAAGAGGTTCAATTTCAGAACAACATCACTGTATTTTATTTCCCTAACTCCCCAGACGACTCGCATTGAGCAGAAACATAACCAAAGACTCACTGGGGAGGCTGTAACCTCCCAGAGTTCATGTTGTAACTTGAATTCCATCTGCAGTGTTTGTAAAAGTAATCAGCTGTGAGCTGTTAAGAGGAAAAAGTACCTGTATTCACTGAAGTAGTTTCGCTCCTTGCCTCCTGAAAGGAAGTGGATGTAACATTAATCTCAGTCTGAAATTACTGGAGACGCTGTAATCAATCATGTTAACCTCAGAGACTTTTTACTCACCCTTTTCCGGGTTGCATTGCTTATGTCCCTTGCAGCCCCGTAAGTCCATGAGCTGTTGATGCATCGCATTCAGAGCATTGCGGTCAAGGGTGCTGACAGCATTTATCAGCTGCAGGAATAATAAGGACAAAATGTCAGCAAGGCCTTTGCAAACTTTGGAAAATCTCTGGAAAACTGTACCCCCTGCACTCACAGGAATGTGCCATGAATCACGATGTGGGATCATTTGATAGTCATTATTTGTACGTTATTTATATCTGCCACGATATGTGTGTCTGTACAAATGAAATACCTGGTACGGGTCAGTGTTGAGGTCAAAATACTCCAGGAAACCAGTAGCAAATTCACAGAACAGGAAGTTGTGTGTGTCATTGATGGTCCTGAGGCACCAGTATGTGTTGTTGTTGGCACTGGTACATGCACAGAATGGACCCACTGAGGGAGAGAGAGGGAGGGGGAGTGGGGGGGAGAAAGGAAGGGTGAGAGTGGAAAACAAGAGATTTTCCAAGCCGTTCAAAACAGTGCTTTCATCCTATCTGCTCTGGAAAATAGTGGCAGAAACAAAAACACTGTTCGTTTCTAATCATGATCCGCAGACATGTCACTCCTCACTTGTCCAGAAGGGGGCGGTCTGCCAGTGATGGTTGTCATGGGTGAAGCACGTAAGGCCCGGCATGCTGCAGGTGTCGTTGTTCTGGAGCCTCTTGAGGAATTTACGTAGTTTCTTCCTTCGCTTCTGCTCCTTCTGCAGCCACTGAGTCTTCTGCTTGGATGGCATTCTGATGTGAACAAGAACATTAAGTAGAATGAGACTTGACGCGTAAACAAAAAGCACGACTTCCCAGTAAATCGATGCTAAGTTTTACCTGAGTGAGTGCATTCGTCCTGCACTCAGCTGGAAAGTGTCCTTATTCTTGAGGAGGTAGCTGAAAAGAGAAGAGACAGCTGTCACATATGATGGATCTCTGTGTTGGTGACAGTCTGCCACTGATGAATTCTCACCTGGGAGTGTTGCACTGGCATTCCTCTGGCCGCACCTTTTTCAGGTGACCTTTAACCTCACGCAGGTTCTTGATTTTGGTCTGCAAGGTTTCAATCTTAATGCAGCCAGAAAAATCACAGAGTCACCCAAAGCTCATTAAACACGACAGACTAGTGACAACCTGTAAAATGAGGCTTATGTATCAGATTTAAGTGAAAGAACCGAACATTACCTCATGTTCAATGTGCAGTTTGTGGTCTTTCCATGCTTGGAGTGACTTGTAGAGGCCTCCATCACACTTAACTGTGTCATTCATGAGGATGGAGCACCTGCAGGACACAATACAGCATGATTCAAAACCATACATGTACCATCCAAACATTTTATCTCTATCAGTAATGCAGACTAACGCACGCACACACACCTGTAGGTGACTTTAAGAGCAGCAGGAGGTGTGAGTTTGTTGCTGGTGGTGGGTTTGGCTGTGATTCCCATGCCACTGAACTCTTCATTGTCTTCCTCATCCCCTGCTCCTCTCCTCCCATCTCTGGTCCAGCTGTTGTTCCTCATGCCCAGAGGCTGGTAGCCCTCCTCTAGATCTACAGCATACAGGTCTCCATCCAGCTCAAAGGACACAGAGCGGGCCCAGCGCTTCCTAGCCGCAGCCTTACTGGATTTCATCTCTGCATAGGACGAGACATAGGAATCTGAATAAGATGAGAAAAAGGAATGTTTTTTTTTGATACTGTAGATTAGGATGTGTGATTAAGTAGATAAGTGAGTGCCAGCATATGACAAACAATACTGATATGAATCAAAGCTCCATGCAATCAGTATTATATTTTACGAATAATTGACAAGCTTTTGTGTCTGTTTCTTAATGATTAAAGTCTCACTTGTCTACTCTACTCCACCACTTGATGGCAGCACTGACACATCCGTCTCCTCTCATGAATACTTCAAAAGCTGGTTATTTTAGCTTGAGATTAATGGCCCTGTTTTGCAAGGCTTTGTAGGCTACAGCAAGGACGTTTCAAAGTAAAGAACAAGTGTCTTTCTGAAAAAAATCACATCTATTAATAGCTACCCGAACAATAGCAAATGTGAGTGACAAGAGGAACTTACTTTTTTTGGTGAACAGCCTCTTCCTCTTCAGGATGGATGTGTTGAAGCCCACGTCATCGCAGTTACAGCTGTCGGAGTTGGATGTAAGAGACAGCTGAGAGGCACCACTGGCCATCAGAGCCTGCATACGTGGGGCAAAGAGACTTGCCATGCCCTTGCACTTATACAACCTCAGCTTGCCAGTTGGGTCCTCCACACACTGCCACTTCTGAAACAAGGCACAGGAAAATTTAATATAAACAGGTCTTCAGGCCCATACTATTTTATAGCATAATTTGTAAACCATTCAAATGGTTCTCTGTTGAAATTACAATGCATAGACCACTAATGCTGCTCTATAAAGCCCTTAAAATATAAGACACAGTCCAGATCAACAGTGTTCATTCTTTGAGGACGAGTTTTTTATAATTGGTGTTCAGATTTTTAACAAGCCAGAAAGCTCTTCATATACACACAGGCCATATTAAGAGCTCCTCATTTTGAAGGATTAAAAAAAAAAAGAAAAAAAAAAGAGCTGTCTGATGTCAAATGGATCTCTGTACTATAAGTACAATCACTGCTTATTATACTCAGTAAATTTAAAAATATCACCCTGTGTGAACTACACTATATTTTGTTCTCCTACAACTTTAATAATCTCTTTTTCTTCGCTTCTGCAGGTCAAGTACCTGTCCTGGCTGCTGGCAGGAGGTCTGGTACTCTGCTTTCTGGCAGAGGTCCTTCACTCTCTGGTATTTTGGCAGGAAGTTCTCCTCTTGGGCCATTTCCTTCCCATCAGCTCTTTTGTGCGGAGGCTTCCTGAAAGCACACAAAAATGCACTTCTTTTTCTCAACCAACCAAGGAGCCTGAGGTTGCCAGAAGACAATGTGGGGAATGAGAACACGTCCTGCAAAAGGTCAATCAATAAAACATACCCTCTCTCCACCAGGAAAGAATCTCTCCATGCTTTACCCTTCCTGTTCAACTGGAACCTGGAAATGAGTAAAAAGGAAAAAAAATTCAGACCTCTCTGTGATATTTGCACAGAGCAAACATGCGCAGCATTTTAAAATGCCATCCTTGTACTGGAAATTAGGTGTTGTTACACATTTATATTTGAATTGCAGATTTCTTATGTCCAAGAAAACACCAAGAAGAGAAGTTTTCGTACAAAGTCCGGGCAAATTACTTTTTGTCAAACAGCCAACCAATCTTGGCATTTTAAATGCCATTCTTGAATTGTGTATTGAACGCGAAAATACAGAGTAAGAAACAGCAGTGTTCTCACCTATTGACTGGCCGGTCTGTGTCCAGCAGCTTGAGAATAGACTTGCCATCCATTTCTGCAGGAATATCAACACCAGCCATGTCCAGCAGAGTGGGTGCCAGGTCAATGTTCAGCACAATGTGAGGATTACTGCAGGGCAACAATAATAAAAGTTTCTATAGATTCTGGCAGAAGAAAAATATCTGGTTCTTTTGCTGCAAAGTGTTCCACTGTGAAATAACAGTCTGAGTGACTCACGTGGCGCCTTGCTCCACATTAGGTCCTCGTACGTAGAAGGGTACGCGGATGTCAAATTCATAGGGCATTGACTTGCCCTTCACCAGGCCAAACTGGCCAATGTGGTAGCCGTGGTCTGAGGTGTAAATGAGGTACGTGTTGTCCAGTTCACCTGTCTCCACCAGCATGTTGTACACCTACGCAGGACATAATTCATTGAACACCCATAGAGTGTAAAAAGTTATACTTCACATTTGATAGCTCAAATCTCTTGTGCCAGTTTCAAGGAAAAAGGGGATTGAACAATTTACCAAGTGTGTCAGCGAATACATTATACAGTCCCAGTCAGAACAAGCACAGATCTCTCAGGACTTGAGGCTGTCAGACAAAATATGTGTGTGTGTGTGTGTGTGTGTACAGTGTGTGTGTGTGTACAGTGTGTATGAGTGCTTCTATGTTTAAGCATATGTCTATCTGTCTGTCTACCTACCTTCTCCACACTGTCATCCACAGACAACAACGTCTGCATCCTCCTGCGCTGAAGCATGTTAGTGAACTGCATGTGGACAGGCTTCATGGGACCAGTGTAGCGTAGGATCCAGTGCTTGTCTGGATTTGGGGCATAGTTGTAGCTGGGGGTTCTTAAAAGAGGAGAAGACAGAAAAAGGCGGTAAGATTTAATCTCATCACAAAAAGTTCTGTGGCATAATATACATTTCTAGTGCTTCTTAAAAGAGCAAAACGTGTCAGTGTCATTCACATTACACCTGCACCGCAATATTTCCATATTCTATCGCTGTAAATTGGATTACAGAGAATGTACAGTCACATTGTGCTTCTACATCAATATTCTCTGCCTGAGTTGGCTAATGTCTCCCATCCTTTTCTTTCCAAAGCAGCCAGAAAAGTGTTTATGCAATGCTAAACCGGAGGGTACATACACCATGTAAAATGCAAAGTGTTGAAATCAATAGGCCTGCACACAGTGAGCACAGTTTGATCAATATTTAACTCCAAGCCATATGGAACTTTAATTATTTGAGAATAAAAACTGCTAAATAGCTAATGAGATCCAAGAAGAAAATATCTTTAACGTTTAAAGTTAATCGATTTGACTTTAAAGAAATGCTAATGTCTCACAGCTTAGTGTGCAGTGGCAACTTTAATGTAGTGTGAAGATGGGCCTGTAAGGTGCCAAGGTGAGACGCTTTATCACCAGAGGGGTGCAGGACTTTTACTGCCTCGTTCTCTTTGTGTGGATGATAAGGACGGAGGGAGATGGAGTGAGAAAAATAGCCAGAGAAGGCGCTCTCGCAAAACATCACCGGAGGGAGAGCAAATTTATGGAGAAAGAGCAATTAAAAGTTTGCACAAAGACACAGGGGTTGAATTTTCCGAATATTCTGTGTATAAAGCCTGTGTGGCACAGGTTAATGATGCTGGAGGGATTAGATGAAGCAAAAGGAAGATGTGAGTGGGTTGGAGGGAGGGAGGTGGAAACTGCAGTCTCATTACTGGCCTTAGATGCATCTCTAGAGGCCAATAGTGAGTTTGCCATTAGCTAGTAGCACTAGACAGCCAGTTCCGAGCATGGAGGGTTGGGAAGACAACGGCTGAAGTGTTAGGTACATATATGTGTGCATCCATGTACCTTAAATATTACCGATGCAATGGATACACACCATCTATGCTCTCTGTGATCGTGGCTAGCAAAATGGTACAAATTGGCAGAGCTTGTTATGGTTGTATCACTAATGTGAACAACACATGAGCCAAATAAACTGGAGCACAACAATGGCTGTGCAAAGAGAGGCCTCAGCTGCCAACAGCATACTGCAGGCAGAGAAAGACGAGATCGCGCTAAGATTATGGAATTTGTGTCATTCTGGGTCAAATGAATAGAAGCGTGAATGTGTGGATGACTCATATGCAAGCAAATAGCTGTGGATGTGAAAATGTAAAAATGTACCGTTGTACTTGTCAGCTTTGTCCCATTTACATAAAATGGGCAAAGGCAGGCCTATTCAAACAGTTTGCAATTACTTGCGCATGTATTATCATAGAACATCCCAAAACCTGTCACATTCTGAGGGCTCATAGCTTGGTTAATCATATAACTTGTGTTTGCATTTTGAAGCTTACTTACATGTGCTGTGATGCGTTGGGGAAGGCAGAGCTGTACTGCGGGGCTGAGTCCTCTGGACCATGTGGAGCAACATGGCTCAGGACCATCATGACAGGCCGGTGAGGGTACATCCTCTTAGACATACGGAAGTAGTTGATGCTGTCGTTGGTAATGATGTCTGTCAGGTAGTCCTGTGGAGCAAGTAAATAATATCTGTCAGGCGCTCAGTAAGGGAAAGAGGGAGGGAGAAAGAGCAGATGTCAAAGCTTCCAGTGCTGTGCAGGGCCAGTGTCCACTACTGATCTTGAGTCAAAGCCAAGTATTGCTGCCTGAAGTAGACATTCAGTCTCAGACCATGCAGCACAGGGATTTTGTAAGTGAAACAACAATTTTTATAAACATTTTATGAAACTACTGGCGTTTACAGAATTTGCAGGATATCCTCAACAATTGTAAACAGAATGCAAGACATTTATTACATTTTAAGTTTCAACACAATAAAAGGTGCTGCTATTTAAGTCCCAAAGTCCCAAAAGTAGTTATAGATCAAACATGGTTACTTAACCATCTACACCCTAAAACCTGCCATCAGGTTGAAAAGGCATGTTTTCTTTTGTAAAATTCCAAAATGCCAAAATTGATCACTGTCAGAACCAGTTAAAATGGAAAGAAATATCAGATTTTCAACTCTTTAAAGAAAGTCAAATTGAACAAAGCATGTGTGACATGCGCTTTATCTGGGAATTTGGCAAAGATCATTTCTTTATACTAACCAGATTCTGTTAAAAAAAACTAAATATTCTGCTTTTTCTGAAGCCATAACTGATTCTTTTGCAACCAACAGTCATGTGTCAAAAATTCAGGGGCTTTTTTGCTGAACTGCAGGCTGTGTTTACCCAGTATGTATAGAAGACAAGTATGGAAGCAAAATATAAATATGAGAAGTTAAATATATACAATATGTAGAGCTGCCATTTTTTCCCAATATTGGTAACACTTGTGAGCACTTGCAATAACATTGTGCATGCTGATTCCATTATTTTTCTTTTTTTATTGTAAAATAAATAATCACATATTTATTTATTTTTTTTATGATTCATGGTTCTCTACTTCTCTCTGCTTTTAGTGATGGTTGTGCTGTTTCCATGGCGGCACAGCACTTTATATTGCAGTGAAAAATGAGCCCACAATGTCAAATGCTTAAATGAGGAGATAACTACATCGCTACGAGTAACAAGAAAAATTATTTGCTCGCCTTTCATTTGCATTGTACAGCGAATTATTCAGTAACAGTAGGTGTGATGTCTCCCGGAGAGAGAGGAATGCATCAGTACCTTTTGGTAGTCGCTGCTGTGTTTCTCTCGTACTCCATTTCTGCAGAGGGTGTAGTTGTAGAAGCGAGAGTTTTTCACTAATGCCACCCATTCCTTCCATCCAGGGGGCACATAGGAGCCATTGTACTCATTCAGATACTTTCCAAAGAAGGCTGAAAAAGAACAGGTGAGAAGTATGTTGATATCGTTCTTAAACCCACACTAAATCTCTCAAGTTAAACCTCATTTGAAACTACCGCTACAACTCGACAGCGCTCACCTGTCCTGTAGCCAGAGTTGTTGAGGTGCACAGCGAAGGTGTGCGGCTCGTGGTGGACCTGCCATGATGGTGAGGAGCAGTTCTCGTTGTTGGTGTAGGTGTGGTGGTTGTGTACATACTTCCCTGTCAGGATGGAGGAGCGCGACGGGCAGCACATGGGTGTGGTGGAGAAAGCGTTTGAAAAATGTGTACCGCCCTTCTCCATGACGTGCCGAGTTTTGTTCATGGCCTGCATTGAGCCTGGGAGCAAACAGTGGAATGGGGAGAAAAAGGGGGAGTTATGAGGGGACAGGAGGGTAAGAGGAGATTCAAAGGCCAGCGATTGAAATGAAAGGGACCCGGAGGGATATAAAGCAGTTGGAGAGGAACAACAGCGAGAAATAGAGGAAAACAGAGAGGCTAAAGAGTGAAAAGTAAAATAAATATAGGACATGAGGGGGTAAAACCATTACGGGCACTGTAAGAGAAAAAGAAGGGGGAAAATTAAATGAAGGAATAAATCTTTTTGGTAAAGTGTAACCCATTTGGATTCCTGTGTACTAAGAGCTTTTCAGGCTGATGGTGATTGTTTGGGGAAACAGATGCTTGACCATAAATTCCTGCTTTTCAATGGGAGTCTTCTCACTAGCGATCACAGGAGGACAAAGGATGTCACGGAGGCCATTATGCAGCCACTCCAGTCCAATACGCCGCTAAAGGACTTAAGCGGGTAGGGAGATGGCCAGGGTTTGGCAACCAGACAATGGAAGCCATAGGCCGCCCTCATTTCATGCCAGCAACAGAGGAGTTGGCAAAAGGAGCACATGACTTTGAGTGGGCCAGTTGTTGTGGTGCCAAGAGGCAGCATTAGGCTGACTTTCCCTTGCTGATGCTGTTGGATACACATGGACAGAATATCCATACCAATGGGACAGGGAGACAAAGCAAACAGAGAGAGACAGACAGATGCACAACTACATAGTAAACACACACAGCAAAGTATCAACGCAGGAAACCCTCTTACCCAGTTCTATGTCCTGATCATCAGTGAGAATGAGAATGATGTTGGGTCGGATGTTGCGAACATGCCGGTCCCTCTGCAAACGAGTCTTTAGGCGATATCCAGACAGGTAGCCAGAGCTCTGGGCCTCGGGAAGGACTCCCACCAGGACAAGAAAGAGAAGAAGAGGGAGAGGGGCAGGGAGCCCCTGCCCTGCCATCACGCTATCCTGCAGTCACCTCCTCAGTTCTTCGTTTGACAGAAAAGAATCAGCAGCTTCTCACTCAGCCTGAGAAATAGGACACAGACGGCGACTGATAAGAATAAAATATACCAACACATGCACATACACATGGATGCACACAAAACACGCTGAAAAATAGCAGATGCAAGCCTTGCACTGCCATTACAGGGTGCTCTTCCGTACAAATGCACCCATTTGGGCTGAGCTCAGCTCGTTAATCAATCATTAATGATGCATTAGAGTGGTGTCATTGGCTGGTTGTAATGATCTCTGGTGATGAGCACATGGCTGCCAGGCTGGGGCTAATGGGCCTGGGCCCAGGGCCAGCTCAGGCCTCACCTCCCCCTGAGAGGGTTAGGGTAGATATGAGGGATGTGGGGAGGTGGGGTTGGGAGGAGGAGTGGGGGGGCAGAGGTGAAGGAGAGACAGGATGAGAGGGGGAAAATGAAGACAGGGGTCAATGAGCAGGGTGACTCTCTGAAGAGAGAAAATGACTCTAAAGAAAATGCTGACTTCAAATTATACCAGGTCAACACAGAGTGTGTACCAGACAAATATTGAAGGATCTGGGAAAATGAAAGCAGAAAAAAAATGTGGCAACATCACCGAGTACATAAAAACAAACGGCTGTTAGGTGTGCAGAAAATTACCTATTCTGCTCTCCTTGCACAAGTTTAACATGACAATTAGAGTTAAGTACGTGTTAAGTAGAGCTTTTTCTTAATTAATCTCTACATGCAGTTTGCTAAAATTACACTTCAATCCTATCAGCTCTGTAATAACTCTTCCTCATTAACAATATATCCCCTCTGAGTTTACCATGGCAACTGCTGGTTAAACTCCCCTGCAAACACACAGCAGTTGTTACCTGTAGTGTGAAACGCAAGCTAAAATTGCAATGAATCTCCAGCAACGACTGCTGGAACTCACAAAAATCAAACACAGCGGTAGAATCAAACGCACTGTAATGAATAGAAATACATTATTTGCTGTTCACCGATCATCATTACATTTAAAGCTCATAAAACAAAACAAGGGCCTGTTGTATAAATGTATCACATTACTATCATTTTGCTGTCCATTAAACATGAGACATCACATTTGTATCAATGAAGTAACACACTTTCCAATGAGCTACTCTTCGTAATATATTTATTATTCAATTTACATTTGAGGGCAAAGCGGAAATACTGAAATGTTGTGCCTAATTTATGATGACACATAATCAGAGAAGCTACACACCACAGTGACCATAATCGTAAACACAGTTTACAAGCAGCAGCAGCATCAGTGTGCCCACTGAGATGCTCCACTGTCATGGAAAGGTGGGGGTTTGGGTATGTGTGTTTGCGAGTCCACAAGGAGTATGTGGCCAGAGAAATCCTTGTTTGAAGATGAAGACAATAACAACAACACAACAGCAAGCTCTGTCTTTTGGGACTGACACTCCTTAACAACAACCTGAGTGTAATACAGTTTGACATGGGAATAAGTGGGAACAAATAAACAGATACACACATGCAACTGTGCATACACAACTGAGACAGCCATCAAAGACAGAATGATAAACTCAAAAGCATAAATCTAAAATGTATTAAACATTTAAGAAAGAGCTAATTACTGAAGAGGAACTTTACTCCTGTTAATCTTTACCTCTCTGCAGAGTCACAGCAGATGAAACAAGTTTGAGCTGGAAGTAGAGGAGCTCCTCTCTAACGCAAAGTTCCCTTGTTCCTCTCTGGTCTATGCTGTTGTCCAGATTGTGCTCATTAAGGTCCTCCCTATCACACAAACACCCACACACGTCCTCCATCTTTCTCCATGGTCCTGCTTTGCCGCAAATGCGCACACCTACACACACAAATGCACACATGAGCATGTGAATCCATGCATGCACGCACAAATAAAATGTATAACAGCAGCTGTGTTTGCTCTGGTTTCCTACTCCCAGAGCACTGGGTTCTTCCCTGGAGAAACATATGAGCTCTGACCCGGGGCGCTGTGCTGTTTGAAATTGTCCTTGCTCCTTTTTCATGTTCTCTCCCTGCCTGCATCCCTCCTTCATTTCTGGCATGGGATGAAAAACAAGGCACCAGCAACAAGGAAATCCACAAGAAAGAAAGAAAAAAAAAAAAAACAACCCGGTGAAAGAACACACATTTAACCAGCTCCGTCTGCATTCATCAGTGAATACCTTTCCACCAAAATGGATTCCAGGACATCTACAGTGAATAAAGAATAGATTCAGTGTGCTGAAATTAAGATAATCCTTTCCCACTGGCTCCTGTTTCAGAATGGTTTGTGCTGTGGAAGGTACAGTACTCGCCTTTGATAGTTGTTTATCTGTTCAAAAAGCTGATGTGGGCAAAACCCATTACGGGAGACTAACAAATATAGCTCTGGCTTACAAGAAAACACTGAGTTCGATTTTTCACGCTGATCTATCAATAGCCAAGTATGTAAATGTTCTGTTATTGTCATGTTACGGTGATGGATATTTCCTGACATTACTCCCATGAGGCCTCCTCCTCCTCCCTGATACTGAGGACTAATTGGATTTTCAGGCTTTTATCAGCTCTAACTGACACATGCAGTCCTTTCTTTCCAGTTTGTTCTCTCCTTCTCTCTTTTATCTACCCGTATTGTTTATCTCTCCGGGTGGCAGATGCTACATGAAACCACAAAGAAAAAAGCAGATGAAACCATAACGTCCAAACAGACAGAAGCCATTTTAGATTGAAGATGTGCGGAAACAACAGAAATGGACAACAGTTAGAAAAACAACAGTACTTCGCCAAGCTGTTCTCAGTCTCCAACAACATGACCAACGTGATGGTTTGTACGCATTCATAATGCAAAGCAAGCCATGTTGTTTCTGTAAACCGGGATGATGTGGAGCTCGTTTTCCAGAAAGAGCTCTGCCCACATCAGCTCTTTGCACTAAGTGAACTGCGAAAAGACAATGCTGATTCAGCCCGATAAGGCAGAATGAAAGAGGAAATTTTGCCATTTAGACAGAAGCACAAGACAACATGAGTAAATATAACTCTCAGCAAAACTCATTAAAGGCTGGGGGCTCGGAGAGGAAGGCTGTGGGAGTACGCTAGCAGAATATGAGATCATAGAGAATAAGCTTCTATAAGCATGTATAAGAAACAAGGATCATCTAAGGTTATACTAATGCCAAGTGATGCCTGGAAGTCAGAACAGAGAAGGAAAGTTTTGCTCTTCAGTCATTCGCTTGTAAAGAGGCTCTAAGAGACAGCGGCACTGCATCACCAGATAAAAACTTAATGCCACCCATCTTTTATTGATAAGACTGAATTATAAATGTAGTGACAACAGAGCTGGCCATGTCACAGCATGGGCATGATGGTAAGACGGTGGCAAGAGAGGAGGGATGAAAACACACACCAGATCGACAGACAGATACGTTACAGTGCCCAGCAACACACATCTGTACTTTAAGTATCACAGTTCAAGTGAGGCACTGAGGAAGCTGAGAGAGTACTTGATAAATCTTCCAAAGACTTTGCAGGGGCGTTAATGTACTTTTTCCCTATAAATAAAACACCTTGGGCTTTGAAACAGGCATAAAGTCTGATTCATCCAATCTACAGCCCCCTGAGAAGGCACAAAACACAGACAGAATATGAGAAAACCGAAGGAAAAAACAGACATTTATTACATATTGAAGGAGGACGAGTCATGGCTTACACTTGCAATTTAATCAGCCGTGTCTCATAATGCATATGAAATATGGAGGCAAAAGCCCACAAGCTTGAATCCAGACTCCTGGATTCTCTATCACAAATGTTCAGAGAAAGATTGAGAGAAAAACATGGAGAAAGTGTGAGAAAAGAGAGAGAGAAAAAAAAACCTCTAGGCGTACAGTCTGGAGAGAACAAAGACCGAGCGCTTCCATTGCAGATGGATTTTTCCAAAACATGAAAACCAGATTCACAGACCAAGGCTTCCATATAAAATAGAACAGAATGAAACAGAATGCAGGAGCAGCGAACCTCCATATCTCCTCTGTGTCGTTCTTGACACAGGAATTCGCCATCCACGTACTCCAGTGCTGAACGACATAAAGGAAGTGGCCAGGAAAGTTTAAATAGACACATCCAGTGCTGAATGTGGCCTGCTGCAACACTATCAAGCCAATCCCTTTGGTCATAATTGAGGCTGGCAGGGCTTTGCTAATGTGTGACTTTGTTCCCACTGGCCTGCCTAGCTCTGAACAGAATGTGCAAAATCTCCAAGGACCCTTGAATTTACCAACAAAAGTTAGTATTCAGATGCAAATTGTCCAACGGCATGCATCTATGTGAGGGTAACTTTCTCTGAGCGAAGTTTACGTGTGTGTGTGTTTGTGTGTGTGCGTGAGTAAGTGTGTGTGAGACTGCGTGTGTGCGTATGTTTTCATCCATGTTTGTGTGTCTGTGTCGGTGGAAGGAGGGGTTTGCAATTCTCAATACTGTATGGAATGCTTTTTTTATGATAATAAGAAGCCATGGTTTGTTGCCATCCCTCATCTATCATTCTCTGCTCGCAAATCTCGGCTCCACCACCAGATTCTAGAAAAGCACAGCAGCAAAACCATTGCTTTCAATCAGGCATGTCGGTTTCAGATGTATGAAAAAGTATGTTCTTAGTATTCAAAAATAAACCATATTAGCATTTTTCCACATCTGACCCTACAGTTGAGGTCTAGTAAAAGCTGCAATAACAAGAGGGAACAGAAGCAATCTGTGAACATAGTACTGACAAATCATTTCCTTTTGCTATAATAAGGTGACCTGCATTTATTTACACATGCAGGAGTTACAGAGCACCATTAACAACTGGAGTCATGCTTCTGACCACCTGATGAACAAAAGTCCAGTATTCACTCTGATTTGTCTCCACTTTTGGTCTCCGCTCAACATATAAAAAAAAAAAAAAACAGAAAAAAAAATTGTAAAGCCGAAGGCAGCTGCAGATTCAGTGGATAATTCTCTTTAGGGTAATCACTGCAGCTGGGTTTCCATCCGAATGTATTG